TGGCACCCCTCGGTAAGTCATAATCCTCAATAAGTCGCTTTTTTTGCTTGGATCCTGACACTCGTAACTTAGCGAAGGCCACTGTACATGGTACAGTGGTGCGCGTGTTTAAGCAACATAGAACAGTCTGTGACGTACATGTAGCTATCCTCCCTCAAATAAGCATGAATATCCTTGTTCAACTTCTTAACATTATTAGTTTTATGTACAGCATACAACATAATATACATGAAACATTTAGCTATGGGATTTTGTTGACCAGGATTCTGTCCCCTGGATTCTGTTCCCTGGATTCTGTTCTCTGGATTCTGTCCCCTGGATTCTGTCCCCTGGATTCTGTTCCCTGGATTCTGTTCCCTGGATTCTGTTCTCTGGATTCTGTCCCCTGGATTCTGTTCCCTGGATTCTGTTCTCTGGATTCTGTTCCCAGGATTCTGTTCCCTGGATTTTGACTCTCAGGATTCTGGCTCTCGGGATTCTGACTCTCATGATTTTGTCCACTAACGTTTAATGCTTATACCCCAGTTTAGCCAACACTTGATAGATTAACTGCTACCACTTACTTGAAAATTACATTCTGTTTAATTACCGGTAATTAATTCCTGTAATTAATCCCTCAACAGGAATATTCTCATTTTCACACATTTGGGTCATGCCGAAGCATGGAATAGAGGCATTTGTAAGTTGAGCAGTTATCAAGCCTTTGTTTCCGCTTTCCATTCTGTCACACAAAGTCCTTGGATCCACTGGTGCTGACACCATATCGTATTATTCTGTCCACATTCCTGTGTTGCCCTATGTCATACCATGGCAAACTCAAGAAGGGTGAAACGCCATAACTCCTTTGACCACCCAGCATTCTTTTCCCATCATCAGTTATGCTATTTGGGTAAATTTGCCAGAATAATAATATGAAAATTAGCAAAAATGTCTATGTACATTGTTAAAAATTTGACAATCAATCCTCCAGCCAACACCACCACCAATATCACCACATCATCCAATTCCCGACTCAACCTCTTCAATTTTTTGTTGTTGCATGGTAAAGTGTAACTATAAATCCAACTACGTCTTAAAAATCTATCAAATCTAATTCATACTTATCTATAGGGTTAAAAAAAAATCTAAGAAATAAAAATAAAAGCATGACCAGATCGTTTTTTTTTTTTAAATAGTGCTCATGATTATGAATAAAACTTCTACGCCCAGATGTGTAAATGTACTTACATGTGCATGTAGTGTTTAAGCTCACATGTCAACTGAAGTTGAGTAGGTAGCCAAACACGAGTAAAATCTGGACACAGATGAACAAATAAGGGATTAATTAGACACTCCTTGTTAAACTGTTGATGCGTACATGAATACCATACCATACTCGTCCAGATTTTTTTTTGTGCTTTGATCTAAAGACTTCAATGGAAATTGACCAAATTAGGGCAAATAACAATATTAATGTTTCAGGTCACTGCGCTTCATTCTGGTTAGTTAAAAAACATGTGTGTCATAGTGGGTTTTTTTCAGGTTATTTTAAAAATTGAGAAAAAATTAAATTAGGGAATATTAAGTTTTCATGACAAATCATAAATTTAATTTCAGTTAAAAAAAATATAAACTAGAAACAATAGAAATAGAAACACGTTTTTTTTTACCTTTACAAACACTTTCAACAATTGCTAGAGGAGAGTCAAATGTTAATAATGAGTGTTAAAGTAAATGAACAAACTAATTATAAAAAACAAAATTACTGTAATTACTGCAAACAAATTGACAATTAAAAAGAAATTCAGTGTGTTTGAAAAATAATTAAAAAAAAAATCTACAACTTATTGCAGCATTCATAAAAAGTACCTGAGCTCCAGTTTTTATCTGAAATGGCTTGCTAGTACATTTCAACCGAACCGCATTGTCCACTTAATATTTTCAGCATATATACTTAGAACGACTGACACACGAAAAACATTGCTCTATTATACCACATTGTATGCCACGTGTTCATAATAATAATATTTTGGAAAAGTTGAACAAAGATATCAGTTATAGGATTTTTTTTTGTAAAAATAAACCACTTTCTCAATACATGTAAATGTAATTAAATTGATGAATGTGTTTCGCTTTGTTATTATTATTATATTTAATGACATTTATTCCTTTTTGACTTTATCGTGTTTTCTATCAGACTCGCATATGGTCGACATCAATGGTTATTATACAAATACTTAAAACCCTTGCAATATTCAGCCAGAAAAAAAATATTTGCAAAAAATATTATACTTGCGCTGGTTTGTACTAGAGACTAATCATGTTTATATTATCCACGCGTGTAATTCCCAGATGTAAAATTATCTACGTGCACAGCGGGTAAGCGAGCAAGAAATAAAACAAGTGAGAATCGTACCAATACAGATATCCATTAACGCAACGCTATTCTTCACTTCTGACAGCGACATCATACTTCCTGTGATGCCTTGGTGTAAAATTTTATTTTAGCACAGTAAATATTTATTAGAAAATAAAAAATATTATTCATATAGACTTTGGATTAAGAATGTATACTGGTATACCAATACAACCCTAGTATCACTAACATTGGGGAGGAAAAACAATAAAATTAAACCATTCGAAAATTCTCGTACAGATGTTCGGATGTGTTACGGTAGCATTTGTTGCTAGCGTTTTTTTTTTTTATTTGGAGAATTTGTATCACATTCACATCACGATTGAACGTTTTACTCTGTTTACATCGAACACAACAACAATGTAACGTGTGACGGAAATAGAGCATCGTCACAAGACACCAAGGTTAGTGAAGAAGCATTGACAGTACGAATTTCAATGAAATGATTTTGTTATGAAATGAGGTTGTTATCGGTCGCTAAATAACATGTAAAAACAGGAAAAGATGTATAATAGGAGAAATCATGTGAATATCGCATGCAGGCAGTTTGAGACCACATAGACCTTCACTATGGATCGATTGATATGATTGTTGTAAACATCATCTTCCTTTATGCTTTACAGCATTCCATACAGCAGAATAATTTATCTGCAGTAAAACACGTCAAAATATTTTTATAAGATTTAACATGAACGGGTTTTAAATAATTATTCTTTAGAAAAATACTTTTCTCATCTATTTATTGAAATGATAAATTTAAATTTGTTGCTGCGACAACAAAATTAGTTTTTAAATGTGAACAACTATGACAAATAATTAAAACAGCGCCCTCTGTCAATGCTCATAGACAGTATCACTATCACGTTACCATAACTTATTCAGAGATCTATTTTGCCGAGTGTTATGTATTTTTCATTAATTATTTCTTTATTAGTTTAGAACCAAATTTACATCAAATAATAAAATAAAGATGGCAGCCAACATACAGTTCAAAATTTCTTTCATTATAACGTTTTATATCTCTGCCCAACACTGTATAAAAACAGTTTCGTAAAACACATATTCACAATAAGCAAAAAACGCTCACTTAACTGAGCAGAACTTGTGTTCTTCTCACCCAGGAAGTTCCATGAAACCCACATACACATGTTAAAGTACGTGTCTGCATTAAAAATATGACAGGAGCCTTTTGGGAAAAGTGGCAGAGTAATTTCATTCTTAACAGCCACAAAAGTAAACAGACAACTGTCAATATAATTACATATAAAACACTGTCAATGAAATTAGCATTGGGTATTTGCGGCTTACTGTGAAAGCATTAATTTTCACTGGAATTAATACCATTATTTTGGTAATTGTTTATGATCAGAGTTTTAAATTCATGATTATGAGTTAGCTAGATATATTGTTATTGAGAGTGATCTGTATACATTAATAAGTGTACTCAAACTTCAACTAAAATTACGTAAAAACTCTTATAAAAATACATACTAATTCATGTATTTATGTGTGAACATAAAAGGTGTTGACAGATTTTGAGCGCATGCAACTTCTGAAATTCTTCTATATACCAGAATCAAACAGGATAATCCCCGTAGGGAATACATATGCCAAAGATAATCTGCAACTTAGTCCATGTATAATGGTGTAAGTTAACGCAATATTAGAAATTATGTAAAAAAAAAAAGGATGCATCATCCATTAAGCAATTATGGGAAACCACATGCATGCCATAATAAAAATACTATAAAGTAAAGTGGGAATACTGAAAACTTTAATTACACAAGAGATTACTTTTCGGGAATTGCAAGTTAGTAAAAAAGACAAAATTATGTTGCGGTGAAAATTTCTCAGGGGGCGGGGGTCCTAGGGCAACGAGTGGAATTGACTTTCGAGACATTTTGTTTAACAGAACTTACAGCATAAGGAAGAAAGCTAATACTTTATACCAGACAGCAGTATGATTCAAAATATTATTTCAGTTGAAACATTTTTAAAAAAATTAAAATTAATATTAAAATTGGTATTATTACACAGGAATATTACAAAATATTGTTAAAACACATAAATATATTATGATTGAGTAACAAATAAAGAAACATCATTTTGTAATACAGAATTCAATTAATTAAATAACATTAATTAATCAATTAGGTAATTAATCAGTGGTTTGACAGACTGGATAGATATAATACACGCAAATTTAATATAACAGTCAGCGGGTGATGTTCCCGGCCAGGTGTCGGTACACCATATTGCTGACATTATTCGTACATGCGGAGTTAGTTTTGTCGAACGCCGGTACTAAGGAGCGATGCTAGGAACGCGAACACAATCCAATGCGCAGTGTCAAGTAAACCTTGGCCGGCCTCGACGGCACAAGGCTAAAAGTATAAAAATACCGCACCAGTGAATCTGCCTACAAAAAATTAGCATTTCCTTTCTTAATTTAATGTTAAATATCACAGGCTCCCGTCGGATTTTTCGTTTAAAACACCGCGCTTAAACAGAAACAAAAAGTTACGGCCCACAATAAAAGTAACGGACAGCGAGAGAATGTTTACATGTGATGTGTACATAGTAAAAGCAAAAACAAAACACGTACCTTACTGTCGAAGTTATGTAACGTAAGGTTATAGCCCGGTAAAAGATTGGTTTCGTCGTTGATGTGCCGAAATGCCATCCGCGCAGCTGGTAAACATCCAACTCCTCCTGCCCAAGCTCCTTCCATCGGGAAAATACCACCGATATGTAAGGGTATGGAGCGGTTATTTGGCGTAGTCAACACTGCTTCATCACCGGACTGACACATAACGGAAGAAGCGGCGATCCACAACACCCATAAAAACGTCCTTTCCACCGGTACGTACATGAGATACATCAAGCCACTGCAGTTATTTGTCGTTTAACACTGGGCGATTTGGTTTTCCCGAACGTTTTGACGAGCTA